TTCTGAAATTCAATAGTATATACGGCTGCATATATTAAGCCAAACACTAATAAGACAAATGTCATGTCTATAAATATAACTTCATACACACACACATATGTATATTAATATTAATATGTAGTTACTAAATAAAATATGCATTTACTTATCAGGTTTGGTATGTTATATCTTATATAACAGTCTACTATACTTTATAACCTTCCTCAATTTGTTTATTCTCGTATTTCATATTTCATATGTAGTTAATAGTAAATGTTTATTTTGTTTGTTATTAATCATATTGTTGCACATCTGGATCATATCTTTATTGTCCGAATAAAATGCACTATATTCCATTGCAAATATGAATTGAATCTCGTTGTACTTCAGATGTATTTCAACGTAGTCAGGTTTGAGAATTTGTTTTTACCTCACTAATTTGGTGTTAAAATTAATTGACATTTTTTTATTTTGAAAGTTATAATGTATCAAAAGTTTTAAATTAGAAAGTTGATGTATAATAAGTTATACTTAGCAATAGGAGTTTCCTTTGACAAATCAATTATCATATTTAACTGATGTACTATGTAATATAGTATATTTGTTTTGTATTTAGTTATCATAATTATTTAGTTTTCAAACTTGTTATTTATATCAATTGTTTTGCGCTTAGATGCTTTTCTAATGTTTTATATTGATTCTTAAATCTGAGTTCTGTTTGAAATTTGGAAACAGTTTATTCTTAAACTAACTTGATTTTGATTGTCATTCATCCACTTTTATATTGTTTAATTTTCTAATTTATTTATCTTTAACTATTTTTATATGTGTATTTATGAGTATAAGCTAAATATACATATATATATACATACCAGCAATGCTATTCCCAAAATATTGACCAGCTTGCAAGTCTTCCATCAATAGATCCAACCTGAGATAAAATCTCTCACCTGAAGTTGGATGAGAATAAACAACCCTGCCAATACTACGACCTTTTTCCCTGATTTTTCGTTGTTTCTCATCAGCTAACCAAACAAAATGTGAAGGAAATTCTGAGCATGTGAGTGTTTTACTTTCATCATATAACTTGTTTGCTTCCATACACCTAATAAATTTTGATTTTTTTGCATTAATATTATCAATAATTTCATTAAGATCATCTGAGTCTTTGAAAATCATTGGCTGTTGATCAGGAAGGTGAAATGGGAGCCTCTCCACAGCAAGAATTCTGTAATGTATATCAAATCCGTAGATTCTCCAAATTGTTTCTAGAGTTGAGATGTATCGATAATCCAAATAATATTGTATCTCATCAGTCTTTTCATGATTATTTGAACCGCTTGAACTTGATTTATGTGACCGTAGAGATATGGAAGCATGATCAGGTCCCTTAGTTATATACTTAAAGAGATATTTTATTGACCTACCTCGATTACACCATTCAACATTAATGTGGGATTGATATTTAACAATAAGGTTCCGATTATAAGGTACGACGTACGACATAAGCATTGTCCAACTTTGTACCATTTTTATCTACCCATCTATTATTATCATTCCTTCGTCGGTATACAGCAAAACCTGACTCATCAATTACAGTCTCATTGACATACTTCTTTGGAAAGTGTTTTGAGCAATTTCCCTTTCTCATACATGGGGAGCTTGTATTAAATATGCCACATGGACCGTGCATCATATATTGTCCAACTGCTGCATATCCTACTGGATCTGTTTCTCTATCGGGAATCTCAGCGCTGATTATCTTATTAATAGCATCAGAATCTGGATATTTACTATTAGGATCCAACCATAGCAAGATATGTGCATGTGGCAATCCCCTTTTCTGAAATTCAATAGTATATACAGCTGCGTATATTAAGCCAAACCCTAATAAGACCAATGTCATGTCTGGAAATATAACTTCATATATACACACACACA